TCTGTTTTCCCCATTGGACTAAGATAACATTAGATAATCTTAGTATGGAAATACTGACATTCAAAATGGCAAGTATACTGGATTTTCAAAAATGTAGGATTTGATACATTTCAGTTTATATTGAAATGTTTATAATAAAAAAAATGTTTATTTCTGTATAGTACTGTATGATTATACATTGTAGAAATTTCCTAAGTACTGTATATAAACTAGCTATGAATTAATTGATGTTTAAGTCTTTTTTTTTGGGGGGGGGGTTCTACCTTTTGTATTTTTTTTTCCAGGGATTAAATGCTTTGTTAATGCTTGGAATACATGGTGAAAAAGTTTCCATTAACCCTCTTGGTCTCCTTCCCACAGGACGAGGAGACTCGGGCTCCATTCAGACTGACTGAACCAAGGGGCAGCTGCGAAGTGGAAATGGGGTGGGGTAGGGGGTGCTTGTTACAGATAGACCATTTAGAGCGCTTTACAGGTAATGGGGACTCCCCTCCACCACCACCAATGTGCAGCCCCCACCTGGATGATGCAACAGCAGCCATAGTGCGCCAGTACACTCACCATACACCAGCTATCAGTGGGGAGGAGAGCAGAGTGATGAAGCCAATTCAGAGATGGGGATTATTAGGAGGCCATGATTGGTAAAGGCCAGTGAGAAATTTGGCCAGGATGCCGGGGTTTTCGAGAAACATCCTGGGATTTTTAATGACCCCGGTTTTACGTCTCATCCAAAGGATGGTGGCTTTTTACAGCATAGTGTGCCTAATACTGGGGCATTAGGACCCACACAGACGGCAGGGTGAGCTCCCTTATTGGTCCCCCTAACACCTCTTCCAGCAGCAACCTTAGCTGGTCTTCAATCCAGGTACTAACCAGGCTCACACCTGCTGAGCTTCAGTGGGCTGCCAGTTGTGAGTTGCCGGAGGATATGGCTGCTGGCAGAAAGGGAGGTATTGGAGTTCAGTATATTCAGCCAATTTCTGTAATGATGGTGATTAATTCCAGCTGTGTGAGATTGGTTTGTCATTGTTTTCCCTCCTGAACTTCAGTTAATAACTTATATACTGTAAATGAAATGTAATTCTGTAAATACTAATATAATCAATTTCAAAAACAAATATTGTGGTTCTCCAGCCACTATGTTATTTAGTCAGGGACCAGTACTTACAGCACATTTCACCCTTATCTTATCCACTGTATTTTGTAAAGTTTTAGAAAGAAGTAAGACAGTTGTCCATCAAGGAGTAGTTAAATGCCACTGAAGAAACAGAACAAACTGCGGAAAAGTATAGTGACTTAATGTAGCACCACATACAGAATATAGCAGGACAGCCACCCACTTTTGACAGGTTTGGCTCATTGTACCCTCACTCATAAAACTCTCCAAACATAACACATTTAAAACATAGAAAAATCCATTGATTAAGCAGCACAGGATTAATTCCTTAACCCCATTTTGCCCGCGCTACAGTCTTCTTAGTTTTGAAATAGCTTTGCTGTAGTATGCAATAATTTAATCTCTGTTTCATACAATGACAATTGTTCATGAATGGGACCATTCGCAAACTGTGATATGGTTCCAAATTAATTTTGGCTATTAAATATGTTGTAATTATTTAATACTTAATATATTGTATTGTAATTGAATACTCCGTAACTACTATTGAAAATGGATAC